AAGAAAATGATTTCCAGATTGTACGCACTCGTGCGAGTGATTTGCGATCTCACATTTTCTAATCGCTAATTTGTGATTTTCACGGATGAATTTCTCCCTTACACGGATGGCGCACTCTACTTTTATTGAATTTAATGCCTTTAAATGGCAATTTGCCACAGTGGAGTAGCGAGCACAACGGACGCCCGGGACAAAATACCTTTTTGGCGCCCTTCCCTTTTCCTGAAAAAAACACAGTGATATGATGAAAATCTTGTTTGGAGACCATTTGGCGCCCCTCTGCGAGCGGCACCCGGGGCATCATACACCCCCTTGCCCCCCTCGCTACGCCACTGATTTGCCAACTTCAAAGTTTCTTAAGGGTATACAATATATTAAAATCATGTAACAAAAGGTTAAGTTAGACTCCGACCCATATTTCGTTTAACAATATTGCATACAGTGCCATTTCCCTCCTGGTGTTGAGGTTTCGAACTTTCTTTTTTTTCTTGGAAACTAAGTTCCCATGACCTCCTTTACACGGTTACCAAGTTTGATAATATTTGATCCAGTAGTTTTCCTTTTTATGACCGTTTCAAAGTGGAACTTTAATTATAATCACCCTGTATATTATTAAATTTTAATTTGAAGCTATGCGTTATATGTATACCATGCGTAATATTTTTGCTTTTATGAAAAAAATAAAGAATTGAAGTAAATATACATAGGATCATATACATGAAGTAAATATACATAGATAAATATACATGAAGTAAATATACATAGATATATTGGACCAAAACTGAAAAAAATTTCCCCTCCCTCTGAAAATAAAATATTGAAACTTCGACCTTGAATTTATTGGATTATCAAAATATTGAATTTGACTTATCTTCTAAGTCCTAGTTTCGACAAAAATTCCGTCAAAAATTCCGAATTACTGAAGCTGAAGTAAAAGGTTTAGTATATATTCACTGTATGTTAATAAAGTAATCAGAAGGTAATAAAAATAAATTATAGAAAGTTTACCACTGAAGCAACTTTTCCTTTTGAATGGCACATATCATCGTAATGGAAGAGAAGGCTTGTAATAGATCTGTTTTCGACATGCCTCTAAAAGTAGATGTCAAACTCATTTTGTCTCTTCAATGTCAAAGAACTTTCCTTTGAGAGGCAACTTTAGTTTTTGGGAAAGAAAAAAAATCACAAGAAGACAAACTTTAAGAACATGCAGGGCGATTGAGTACACATACTTATTTTCGGAACACAAGCGGTTTTCCGATTGGTTATTGAATTATGAAGAGATGCATTGTCATGCAATACAAAACATTTGGAATACGTTTTCTGACTGAATAACGTAAGATTAAAAGTCAACTGCTTAATTCACAGCCATTTACAAGTCAACTACTCGGGCAATTGCAGAATCGTTTTGATCCTGAGCTTGTAAGACAAACCTAATATCACTGGATTTAAACACTTCTTTAATCTTCCAAGAACATTCCTTCTTTAGCTCATATTCCAAGAATAGTAAGTGAATACAATTATTGCAAAAGAAATTGAATATTCATTTGCACTACTGCTTGGTAGTTTACTAACGAGTTAACAAAACTTAAATTCTGCTTTTTTTGTCTAAGAATACAGCAATATTTTAAATATTTACAAATAAAATATTAAATTGGATATTTAATTGGAGCCTCACCAGTTGCCTAGCATTTGAAGATTGTTAAATACTAATTGTTTGTTGCGAAGTCTAACACAGGCTGCATAGTTGGTTTTCATAGTTTTCTAGGTTCTCTTTACAAAAGTTCTCTATGAAAGCATCTTAACCAAATAGCTCCCATGTTCTTTTCATGTTCAAATAACCAACTAACCTAGTTTAAGCGCAATTTCCAAGTGAAGTTACTAGCAAACTCAAATACTCATTGAAAATCATATAGCCTGCCAATCGAGAGTAACGTGAAAGATACGGCACCAATAATTGAATTGCTGTTATGGTACGCGGTTTCTAAACTTAGATGGTCATTCCTTAATTGAATATAATTGATTTGTAACTTCTACTAGAGCTGACGGTAAGAATTGAAGTGGAAATAAATAATATCGTGTGCAAACTTGATTAATATAAAATTAGAAATATTTGCATAGAAAATATTTGCATTCAGACAGAAAGTTTTTCTGAAATATTTGCAATTACTTTATAAGAAGGATTTATTATTGTGTTATTACATTCTAAATTAGAATTTTAAGGGTATAATGAAAATACACTATGCATAAAAATACATTTTAGGATAAAAAATGAGTTGATTTTTATGTTTAAAAACTTCTTAAATTCATTTAATAAACATCGTACCCTCATTCGTAATTGAATCCAGAATGTTGAGTGTCGTTTATATCATTATTCTTACTTGTCCAAAGAACCTGCTGACTTATCGAGCCATTAAGTAGCTGCAGATCATTTCTACATAACCATTGAACTTCCATTAATTCGGTCTCTAGAGAGTTGTATGTTTATATCATAATTTGACTTTGATAAAAATGATTATTCTAAATCTTATGTTTCTATAAAAAAATACTGGTCTATAAAAAATACTATGGATAATAATATCAGCCGCTCTTTCAGCCACTTCATAAGCAACAACTTGTTTAGAAATAAATTATGCAGTTAATGTCATAAAATATTTTCATGAAATTTAAATAAACATCAAACGAAAGTTCTCTTTAGACAATTCGATTCAAATGAAGTTAAAGTAAAGTAGCAGATGATAAAACGTTGAAGATAAAAATTTACTCTTACAAATATTTTTTTTAAAAAGGGAAGAAAAAGGGAAATTGAAAGATATAGTTAAAATTTTGAATAAAATCATCCATAATTTAAAAAAATAACTTCTTATATAGTATTAATAAAATATTTATTACGCATTATTGAGGGAAAAAATTTCATATAATTAATTCTCCATAAAATTTTATTTGAAGGTATTTAAGGTTAAAAATACCTGTGGCAATTCACTGTAACAAAAATACATAAACCGCATTTGGTGTTACTATCACTAAAAAAAAAAAAAAAAAAAAAAAAAAAAAAAAAAGATGCCAAATTTCAAAAGACAAAAATATGTAAATTTGTGTATATCTTAAAAAATTTTGAATAAAAAAGTCTAATTTTTTGCAGGTATGCTTAGAAATACACCTACTTTAAGGTGATGATAAAAATTTTATAGGTTATAATTCAAAATTTTTTTCGAAAAATTATTTAAGAATAGAAATTTAAAAAATAAAACACAAAAATGGGTAAATTTTATTTGGAATGAACCAAAATTTCAAAATGTGAAAGGGAAAATCGAAAAAGTTTAATAAAAAAAGATATATTAATAAATATTTGCCAAATTCAATTAACATTGAGGAGCTAAAGTTTTGAGAGCTAATATTTTAAAAACTACTTGTAGGATTTTTACAAAACTTGGCATTCTGGCATAATTTGAGCCGTAGAATCGAAAGAAAAAGTCCGCTTTTATGTCAAAATACCTATGTTAGAATAGTGCTATACATAAATCTAATATATATCCTAAGTCGTACTTTCGAGATTTGAAAAACACAGTTTGAATTTTGTCAATTGGCCCAGTAGAACAGGAGATATAGCACTTTTTTTTGTCCCCCCCCTTTTTTTTTTGAGCAGTGTACATATTCACCATGATTGATGAGCTCTGGAAAGTAGTGGATGAGGAATGAAATCAGTGTCCCTCTAAGTTTTACAAAAAGCCCTCCATCATGGAAATCATGATGCAGACTTAAAATCCAGAAAAAAAAAAAAAAAATGCTATCAGATCGAACATTTAAAAAAATACTTTTGACATTTTAAACATAAATTAAATGGCCCTGAAATAGTTCTAAAAATGTGTAAACATCCTCTGTAGTTTATTGTGGATATTACACCAACTGTCCAGCATCACCCATACTGTTTGATTAGCTAAAACTTTACTGAATTTCTTTGTTTATTCTTTATGTTTAATAATTCACCACATAAGTAAGTCACCTTTAGCTTTTGTCGGTACACAACATCTCCATTAATTTTAGTCACCTTTAGCTTTTGTCGGTACACAACATCTCCATTAATTTTATGAAACGAGAGTTTTTGGCACTATAAAATGATGGGTTTCTAGCATGAAAAAATTTACCTACTTGATGTTCTCTGTTAAATTTTTGAAAAGGCAGTGTTTTTAGGGCATATTTGCATACATTGTGGATTTTGAATTAGTGCATTCATCATCAGATTTATGTTTGAGACTAGATCATTGATTCTTAACCTTTTTTTGCCCCATGTGCCCTCTTTCATCAATGCTAAATGATCATTCCCCCTGCTTTCAAAACCTTGAAAAATACATATCCGTTTATTTAAATTTAGATTATTTTTAATGTGTTTTAGAAATGAAACAAGTAAAAGTAGAGAAAATGTTAGACAACCCCTGAATTAGATGGACATGGAAGTGACTTATTTTCTTGCATTATATTTACATGGTTTTTTTTAAAAAATATTGTCAAAATTTATACTTTAAAAAGTTTCTGGTTTTCACACTCAGTAATTCAAATTTCTTAAAAAAAATTACAGATTATCTTTAGCTTCGATTTTAGCATATTTTCCATCATTGAACAAATTGGAAGAATATTTAATTTTGATTGATGATTTTAAAAAAATCTGATTGAAATCATGACTGAAGTCATTGATTTTAATCATCCGATTGAAATTATTGATATCCTAGTTGATGCATTATAGGGTCTGTATATTAATTCTTATTTATGTATTTCAGATCCTGAGTTGTACAATGTTTATAGTTTGAACCCCCCCCCCCAATTACTCAGGCAAATTCCTTCCCCCACCCCAAGTTGTATGTGAATTTCATATTCAATATAAAAAGCTTAAAAATTAGTCATTAATTCTAAAATTTTGGACTGTTCTTTTTATTCAAATGTTAACCATATTTGTTTTGTTATTTGCCTGCGTTTTTTAATATGTTGTTTTAATTTGTTTCTAGAGTTTTGCAGAACTTACAGATACATATCCAAGGAATATGATGACTATGATAAAATACTGCCAGCTACAACATGAGGGGCGATTACATTCTGGTATTGGTAAGTTTATAATTTTTTCTGCATATATTTAGGGAAGATTTCATATTCTGTTACTAAATGATTATTTAAAAATTTTGCACTTACTCCTCATTATATTACCAAGTAAAATTTTAACACAAAGCTATTAATTCATACATCACTATATTTATTAATACTTTTAATAATCTATGTTTATATATGGCAGTGATTAAACATTATAGGTATAATATAAATTTAATAAAATAAAATGTCAGTACATAAAAATATTAAATCTTAAATTATAATTTTTAATGATCTTTGTGCAAGATCCCCTCTCCTTTTCATCTTGGTACATTTACAAATTTGCAACAAAAGCATTAAAGTGATGCATTGGTTTGAATTAGAGGTATTTTTTATTATACTTTATTATTAGCACCAGCATCTCAGAAAAGTGCCAAGATATTATATAAGAATTTGTCTGGTAAGTAATGTTTAACATTAAATATCTTCAAAGTAACATTTGATGATCTTTTGCAAATTTCCCACTAAAAATTTTTGCTATGTGTAGCAATCATGGGCTCAAGATTAGTCAGTCTATACAAAATTCTTAAATTTAAACCTTCTGTTTTTTAGATTGTATGAAGTCTTACTGAAGGAAGTTGTGTTATGCTATTAACCAAGTTTCACTGAGATCTGAAATGTTAAAATTTCTGGCCTGGATAATGTGACTCGCATATCAGTTTTAATTCCAAAAATCCTTGCATATTGAGTTATTATTATAAGTCTTGTTGTCTTGCAGTTAATTTCATCTTTCCAATTTCATTAATGGTTGAATGGCTCTTGAATGCTGGCAGTTTGCCTGGTTTGATTCTCTGAAATGCTAACTGCATACAGTTTCCTTCAGGAGGTCTTTTCTGTATGAAGCTATCTTCCCTTGGGCAGATGGCTGTTACATACTTTCACATAATCTTCTCTTACCTAGACAACCAGTTACTTTCCTTCAGATTTGAGGGAGGGGGGGAATTAGCTAATGCAGAGTTTTATTTATTAATAAATTTCTAATTAAATACTACAGAAAATTTGAAGCAAGCAAGATTTGAAACGAAGGCTTGTATAAAAAAATTCATATTAAAAATTGTTAGGAATAGTATTTCAGTTGTATTCAAAAGTGCAGAAAGTTTTAACTATTTCCTTTCAGGAATAATTAATCCAGTAGTAATTTTCATTTGAAGATGTATATTTTTCAAACAAATGAATTTCATGAATCAGTTAACTAGAAATGGAATTTAATTTAATTTTTATCTATAGGTTACTCTTTTTTGTTTTTAGATGACTGTAGAAATATAGCCAGGGTTTTGAAGAATCTAGCTGAACGTGGCATGGTTTTTGAGTGTAATGGCAAAGGCAACGGCAACTGACATCAATTTATTAGCATGTTATCTGCAAAGTAATTGTAATATATGTTATGTATATTAAATTATTCTTTAAAAAATTGGTTTATATTGTATTTCATCTTATTTTATTCATTAGGTGAAATTTACAGCACAATTCCATTACTGTTATCTACTTCCCCTCTGAAAAATCACCAACATTTTGCCAACCAAGTTTTTGCCATTCTGATATGTGAAAGGCAACAATGATTTTGAAAATGGTAGTGCACTAAGAATTCTATAAAAGACCAGTGAATCAATAAAATTTTAAAAACGAGAAACATCCCTAACAAAACACTAACCTTTCTAAATAAATCCTTGCTTTTTTTGTTTTGTTTTGTTGTTTGTTTTGTGTGAGTGCGGGCTATCGTTCTGCCTATGTACCCAGCAATCTGTTTTGACATAGTAAAAGCCAAGAATTACATAAACTTGTCATAAAGATATTTATAATTACTTACAAATAAATGTTTGTATTTGTAGATGTGTGCCCAAGAAAAATTTAATAAATACGAGAAAGAAACTAGCTTGTCATTATTAACTCTCAAATTTTGTCCTAATGAGAAAATTTTCTCTGAAAACTTTGAATGCTTTGATAATTTGTTTATTTTAAATAAAGTTAGTTGTTTAGTGATTAATCAAACATATTTAGAATTATTTGAAGTAAATGTTAGTTAGAAAATTTAACATTTATCTATCATTAAATTACATAACCAAAAGAGGACCAAAATTTAGATATCAGATAGAAAATAAGAATAAATTTGGAATTTATTTTCTTTTTAATATTCTTATTATTGTTTATGCATGTTTTTGTTAAAATTTAGAAAGGAAATTGTAAAATTTGCTTTAAATATTTTTTAATTTTTTTTGTAATACAAAATTTTTACTCTATTTTCACAAAAATCTGGCCTGTCAACTGTTTTCCTATCGGGCATTTGGCCCACATGCAGTTTGAGTGTGATACCACAGTTGTACAGTATTATCATTTAGAGTCTATAACAAAAATTTTTAAATGCCATGTTGATTGGGAGCATAGTTAGTTGTGGCAGCTGTTACATTGTTGCACCCTGGTTTCAATTCTTGGAAAAGGCATGGCTGTTTACAAATATATAATGGTATTGTGTTAAGGGAGCACTTAAAAAATTGTCTAGCCTTCAAAAATTTGATGATAGGGAAAAGTGGGCTAAGAGATCCCTGAAAATTCTATTCCGTAATGTGTTCATTAAAATTGGACATAGCTGGACAAACTCGTGTCATCTGTGAGGTGTTCAAGATCTTGGCCAATGACAGGCACTACTTTTTTTCACTTAACTACAAAAAATTTCATAAACTGGATCTGCAATTAGGATCTGATCATTGATCATGAGGATTAGAAGCAACGACAAAATTTTGAAACGATAAGTTGGCTTTTGGGGGGGTGGGGTGTATGTGTTGTGTTCAAAGGATAATAATAAGAATGGCGAAAAGTAATTGCAGAACATAGCACTTAAAACAAAATTCTTATTTTTAAAGACTATTTTTTTATGACAGCAAATATAAAATTGCAACAACAAGCTCCTTGTAACTAAACTGAGCAGAAAATGTGTTGAATTTTGAGTGAATTTATTTGTTAAATTCATAAAACCATCTCTAATTTCCGAGTTACACAAATCAGTGATTTTAGTGATTTAAGAGGCTCTGTTTTTCCACTCTCATTCCCCACGAATTATATTAAGTTAAAAGACTCTTTTTACTCTACATTAGCAAAATTTTTAATTTTTCAGATTTTTTAATATGTCAGATTTTTAAGACTTCAGAATTTATTAAATTTAACTGAAATTTCAAATTACGCTGCAGGCAACTTGGTTCTAAGCACTCACCTGGACTCCTTCTAACTAATATACAGCACCACTAGCACCCAGATAGAAACGGCTGTCAACTGAGAACATGGCAGACTTGCACTTCGCCCTCCAATAAGCTCCAGCTTGACACACCAAAGTTTCAGAAGGCGATGATTTAGAGTTAATGCCACTACTCTGCATGGTGTCTGGCTTGGAGCTGTTCTTCAAGTAATTTTTTTATTACAGTTAGCTGTATCACTCTGGTGTCTACAAAAGCTGAAATGTATACTGCAGGTACAATTTGATGCGCCACAGACATGGGGGGAATATGGCAGTCTTCCTGAGACAGACATACGGCCATGTCCACTGCTGCCAATACACATGCATAGTGGATATAGTGGATACATACCACCCAAGTCTTTTTGCAATACCACGGAAAAAATTCCACCTTCTCATAGGTCTATTACATGGCCTTGTTCAAACTCAGTAACCTGATGATACTATCTTTATCATCTCATTAAAGGCATTCTTGACTTAATTCTCGCTCACAAGCCCAATCCAGCAGATAAAAAAAGCACTTGAACTTTGCATCACGTATTTAAAGCAAACGTGATTTTCATATTCATAGTGATGCTACTAGCGCCACACTAATTCATCTAGCATGAAATTTGGATAGATGCCATGTTTCAAGATGTGCAAACACATCTTTCAAATTTCATATATCTAACGCAACTCCTTTTTGTGTTGAAATTTTATTTTTCATCAGTGTACATACACAGAAAATTCGAATGTGAATTTTTTTGCAAACTGTGTTATGAAGTAAATAAGGCATGATGAAGAACTAGTGCAAAGAGAATACGTAAGAATCAAATGCAGATTTTAACTTCAATAGGCTTAGATTGGATTGGATTGGATTATTTGACTATAGCAAAGCATGTGACGTCTATCTACCTGAAAGGAGGAATGTTTTTGTGGAGAACTTCCTAAGGGCAACTGGTTCTTGTCCACGTTACATATGGGGAAAACCATGGGAATGCCCATGCAGCCATCCTGTTTGTCTGGAATCGAACCCAGGTCAAATTACCAGTGTTCAGCGACATTGCCGCTAACTTTAATAGAGAATTTAATTTTCCCTAACTATACTTACATATCACAACACAATTGCGTACTCTCAATTAAATGATTAATTAAGTTTGGGGAACAAATGTTTATTGAGAATTTAAGAACAGACTTTCGCTGAAACTTACAAAGGTATCTTCAGAAGATACCTTAAGTTCTCTAAGGTACTTAGGGAGATTTGGTTGGCTAGTTCATTTGATCAACAGTATTTATTTCAAGAAGTTTCTTCAGTGTGGATGCGCTTTATCATCCACTAAAATTAATATAATATCCAAATCAATCAAAGAGCCTTACGTACGTATACAAGACTTCATTTCTATATATGTGAGGAAGCTCAAATCATCTAGAGAAGCAAATCCATTGATCAGTACTTTTTCTCATTCTATCATATTTTCATCCACCAAATGATCATATTCTGTAATGTTCGTGGGACTAATTTCTATTCCTGATGTAAAGGCGCTTACAATTAAATATTGCTCTGAACTTTGACTCGTCATTGAAGAGAACAAGGACTTTTTGTAGTAGACCTCCAGCTCTGATATGCTTGCTCAGATTCATGCTGTTTCTTTTGTAATGTGAGGTACTGAAACACAATTTATTTGGTTAGCCAGCTGCAACATGAAAAGCTCCAATGCCAGATGCAGGTTCTGAATTCATCTGCTTTTGAATCATTTCAGCAGCTATGCTTAGAAAACTAGCTGAGAATTGATTTTCTTTTACAACCTTATCCTAGCAATAGTTTCAATTTTTAAATTGTTCTCACGGAGCCAAAAACTGCTAATCTTGAAGCGTTCAACTATCTTGTCACTGCCATAATTATTTACCTTGCTTCTAAATGACTAAAAATTGTCAGTTTCAAAGACTTTTCCACGGCACCGTAAAAAATTATTTTGATTCGATGAAAAATATGAGGATCAATCTAATTTTTGTCTTTGTATTGGAAATAATATCAAAGAACCTTTTCCTGGTTGAAGAATATTTATTTCTTCGTAACTCTTGAATAGGCTAGCCTTTTTGCTTCACTATACGGATGAGCAATAATTTGCATAATATTTCTAAAATTATTTGACAATACCATCAATAGGTGGCAGCACTACAAAAAAACTGCATTTTTAGAGGTACCATAAATTAATAGAAAATGCTATCTTTTATTTTTAACCCTTAGGAACCTTAGGATTTTTTATGATCGAAAAGTTAATTTAGCGGAGCATATTTCTGCAATTATTTTCAAAGCTAATTTTGATACATTTCTGATTGAAATAAAATGTAAAATAATTACATTTTAAACTTATTTTGGGGTATGATGGTATATTAATGTAGTTCTGTCCTTCAATTAAATATAATACATAGCAGCTTTTCTGTATAACTGAGAGTTATACTGCATTTTTTATATTTCTCGTAAATTAGGAATATTTTCCTTTAAGGAATGTCATTTCCTTCCAATTATTACGAATACAGTTCAATAGATGGCAGCACTATCAATCAGATTTTACCCTTAGTTATATGGAATATCCTAATTATGGACCCAGACATCTCCCTAGAAATATTTCAGTTTTATATACTTGCATATTTTCTACGTTCTTCTAAATGTCCCTTCTTTGGAAAAAAAGGAGTGCTGATTGTTTCGTGCTTTTTCATTCGTATAATTCTTTTACTGTTTCTTTAAGAAGAAATAAACATAAAATTTAAAACAGAATAATATTTCCCTTTTTGTGGCCATTGTATTAGATTGCAATTAAAGGATATACTTTGCTTTAAATTCTGAAAATTTTTATGCTGTGTTAAAATGCAGCAAAATGTTTTAAAATTTATTTAAAAATCTAGATATTGTTATCCCTATTACTGTCCTATTATCTTATTATAAAATATTATAACAGTAACAGACTGAACTAATTGTGTTTGTAAAAGGTCTGTTAGACTTTCCATCAATCATTGTTATTACTTTAAGGCAATATACTGATATATGCATATAAATTATTCACAAAGTTTTAGTTTTTTTCTTACAATTTATTAATTTGTCAATCTCGGTCACACTATTTTATTAACTTTAGGGTAAGAAGAAAAACTGCTCCATGTGCTACTAATTTTATCATGATGCTATTTATTTTTGCTATCAGGTGGGGAGTCTTG